AACCGGGTCAGTCCGCCATGGTTTCTCCTCTCGCGCGAGATTCCCGATGGATGCACACGCCTCACCACGACCGCGCAAACGTCGTGCTATCAATGCCTGTGTCAATTGCCGGACGTCCAAGGTGCGATGTGACGGGAATCGCCCCTGTCAACGTTGCGAAAGGAATAGTGCTTCCTGTCAGTACTTTGACGCAGTCAAGGACGAGAATGTACTCCGCATCGAGAAGTTGGAAGCCGATATGGCTGCACTGCGCGAGCTGCTCGGCACCAGGGAGACACCAGGTCCCAGGACTAGCGTGAGTGATGGCTCTTACATGCATTAGTGATGCTTCTCGAAGAAGTCCCGGCCCAGTAGACAGGTGCCGGGATGGCTGCAAGACAGTCCAAACCCCACGTGGCTGGAGGGATAAAGACATGTCGCTAACTCGGTTCCCAATCCAGTTACACATGGATAACGCAAGCGTGACTGTTGCAGAAATCACGCCCCGTTCCCCGGCCGGGCACAGCGCAATCGGCAGTGCCGTTGATGCAGGCTTCATCACTTGGGACCAAGCCGCTCACTGGTACCAGAGGTAGGCAGACCCCCTCAATCCTTTGCTCCCACTCATCATGCTGACCCTCGTCTAGCTTTTTTTCCGGCAGTGTAAGCCATGGCTCTATTCGCAACAACATGACACTAAGCAGCACAGCAATACCTCGTTCCGATATTTTGTGAGAGATATGACACCATCACTTCTGTATCCTCACGGAGCGCTGTCCTCTTCGATGCCATAGTCAGCATCGGTTGTCGTGCTGAAGAAGGTTTCAATGCAACCATCCACCGCCAGCTCCAATCCAGGGTTCGCGATCACATTACAAACCTACTCATCAACAAGAGTATACCCAGTATAGAGGACATACAGGCCATTACCCTGGTAGCTGCCTACTCTGAAAATGGTTTCTTCTTGATTGCAACGGCCCTTCGCTTTGCCATACAGCTTGATCTGCCTCGGATCGTCGATCAACTGATTGCAAAAGGCCAAATACGTTCTGGAGCCGTCAACAGCCATGAGCAAGAACTGTACCGTCTGTCCAGAGTCTGGCATGGAATTTGCAATCTCGAACTTTTGTAAGCATTATTCCGGTCATATCTAACGTTGGCTGTCTGACGCACCGCAGTTTCTCGCTAGATGGAGGAAAGTTACCGGGCTTGAATTTCCAAACCTCCCCTAGGAAAATCAGAAGCCTTCTCCAGCACCCTGAGCGTACATCAGTCGATATTCGGCTGCTCTCCCAGGTAGAACTCAACCTGATTCGTGCAGAAGCATATACCAAGATCATGCGACGAGACACGGATGAATTTCTTCTCCAAGAAAACGAAAATAAAGTCCGAAGTACGGTAGACGAGGCTAGTGTAGAGTTGACGCTCTGGCTGGATGAATGGACAAACATCATCTTGGCAGAACCCGTGCCACATCGACGAGCAATGGCGTTACAAAACCTCCACATCCAGCGTGAATGGGCCATGATGACACTGTACTTGAAGGCTGTGGCATCATCTGGCGTGGAAAATATTGCATTCATGACCGACTTCCAGAAGAATTTTATACGTAGAGCTAAAGACGCAGCAAGTCGACATCTACACTACATGCTGCAGTCCTATACATCGAGTCCAGATGCTTCGCCGGCGTCCTCGACACACACAATTGGCTCTACCTATCTCAGTACATTCCGATGGACTCTGGATTACGTATGGGCAAAGTGCGCAGTCTCCGTTTTGCTCGTACTCAAATTGGCCATTCTCCTCCGCGATCCTGCCGCGTCCGTCATGGCACTTCTCCGCGACGCTCATAGGGTACTTGAAGAACTCAAGACTGTGACGGTAGGACATATTGCATACTTCCAAATCCTTCAAACAAGTATTGAGAAATGCGAGGCTGCATTGCGAGAATACTCTGTTGAACAGAACCATGCTATGCAGTCGTCACCTGTGTCTGGGACGGATGGTGGTGCTGCTGAAACAGAATTTCAGGGCTATGTGCCCCGAGAATTCGTATTCGAGTGGGACTTTCCTGGGCTCAATCTTAAACATATGCCTTTAGGGTGGCAGGATTTATTCGTCAACATTGACAGTCTCTTCTGATTTGACACTCAAGCTAGTATTCGACTATATACCAAATAACCATCGGCAGGGGATGTATTGCAGTGTTTACCTCTTTTTAATTACGGAAGAAATATCTATGAATCATCATGTGCAACTAGTCGTCTTAATAGATGTAAATGAAATCCTCGTTCTTGAGGTCGGTCACATCGTCAAAGGCCTTGTCACCCACCCCGCTTGCCTCGTTCTCGGATTCCTCGGCGCTCCCTTCAACAGCGTTTCCCATACTTGTGTCGACAACAACGGCCGACTTACCCATACTCTCTCGTGTCGCGGCATGCTTGCGGTTCAGCAATTTGATCCATAGCATTGCTGCCAAGATCAAAACAATGATGAGGATGAAGAGGGCAAGGCACACACGCAGACCACGCTTGTAGTACGGCTTTTCAGATGGCTTGAAGATCTGGGGCCCAATAATGTTTCCTGCACTGGCGCCAATAAATAGTATGCTGGTAGTGACTTTGCGCTTTGTGTCTCCACCCGTGTTTTGGCCTGACCAGGAATAGATGAGTGGCGAGATGCCTGGATAAAATGATGTCATATAGTATCCAAAGAGCAGAAGGCCGCGGTTTGAAGCACCGCGCCCAACCACCATGAGGATGACGATGCCGACAATGGGCGGAATACATAGCAGGATGAGGACAGGCGACTTCTTCTTGAGCCATGTTGCCAGCCAAGCACCGCCAACCGTCGCGACGATTTGCACAACGCCAAAGGGCATGTTGAACAAGATAGTCTCAAACTTTCCGAAACCAAAACCCTGAATGATCAATGGACCAAAGGCGGAGATGCCGCCACTCGGAATACTGATGGCGGTCAACATGGAGAACCAGAGCCATGTCTTGATGTCCAGGAATGCCTCGAACACATGGTCCCACTTCCAAACTCGAGATGCAACACCCATCTGGTTCATGCGCAGACGCTCAACCGCGACGAGCTTTTCATGCTCGGTCAAGAATTTTGCCTCCATGGGAGAGTCGGGCATGAAGAACCAAACGAATATTGACACCACAACGGTGAGGAGTCCACAAAAGAGGAAGATGATCTGGTACGAGTGAAGAAGATTCGAGTCGATGTGTCCGAGACCATAGCATAGCAGACTGCCAAGAATGTTGACAATGCCCAGCATGGCATACCAGGCCGCATTTCGGTTAGTTTGTTCGCCGCGCTTGTACCACATTTGGACTACAGCGATAAAAGCAGGAGCTGGCAGAGACATTAGCAAATGAAGTTGAAAAGGACGACAGGTTTTTGTGTATATAGAGTAGAAGCTTACCGACTGCAGCCTCAAAGGCGCCCAACAGAAACCGCGTCGCCATGAGTGCTTCGAAATTCTTTGCACCTGCCATACCGCAAAGAATGCACCCCCATGTGAAGACCATGGCGCCAATAAATTTTCCCATTCTCATCTTGACGAGCAAGAAGGCGACGAGCGGCTGTGCCACCAATTGGGCAATGTAAACGATACTTCCTAGCCAGGAATACTGCTGTGACTTTGGATCGAGATTTGCATCTTCGATGAGTCCAAAGACGGATGCGTATGAGAGAGTGGTCTTGTCGAGGGACTGGAGAAAATAGACACTAAGCAGGATGGGCAGAATGATGAGATCAATCTTCTTCAGCACACGCTTATTCTCCTCCAATGTAACCACAATACGTTCATTTGAGGCGAGCAGCTCAGCGGCCTTGTCTTTTCCTTTGCGGTTCTTCTCGTCGGTTGGCTTGTGGATCGATTCTGTAGTTTCGACATTGGATTTGACACAAATGTCTGCTGCTGCTGATGGGGTAGTTGCGGCCATGTCGGGCTTGTGAGACACGATGAAAGCAAACAAGATAGCGCCCTGAATACTGGGGGCACTACTTGCTGGCGATCTGCTCAACAGCACTTATATCATTTTCCCCACGGGGACCCCATATGTGAACCTTGTCTGATTCCAGACTAGTGGAGCACAGGTGTCGGCCGAAGATGCCGACCCAACGGGCCTTGTGACAAACCTACTCCATTCCTCTCGGCAACTAGAAATGGGGCTTTCGATCAAACGCCGACGTCAAACCTTGCTATAAATTCCAAGTCACTGTGTGGGCAGTGGTCAAAAAGAGCATACCGCTTGTTGATGCCCGCTTGTGTTTCGTCATGCCCATGCTTGAGCACGTTCCTGCCGGCTATCAAGCCGGCGCTGCCACGGCAACATCAAATGCGAGCGTCGAATTACAGTCAAACATAGGAGACTTCAAATTCACATTCGATGCGATACGGCCGGGACTCTTTCGCACAACGTTTACCTCACCGAAACATCTACTGCCACCTCATCGAGCAGCCCCGGTTCCCAGCAAGACTGTGGACAACTCCAACGCCACAGTCTTGTCATCTGGTGCAGCTGCAAAAAGCTTTCAGGTCGACGGTGTCACGGCTCAAGTTGACTGGGAAAGCGGACTCCCGCTCGTCTCCCTGACTCTTTCTGGTCAACAAAAACCAATCCATGCCGACCTTCCCAATCGATCGTACGCTGCTGATGGACCTGGCATTTCTCATTACACCAAGTACAATCATGGCACACTCCATCTTGGACTTGGCGAGAAGCCAGCACCCATGGATCTTTCAAACCGCCACTTTGTGTTATCAGCAACCGACTCTTTCGGTTACGATGTGTACCGGACGGATCCGTTGTACAAGCATATTCCACTTCTGATCAACGCTACGCCAGATGGATGTATCGGCATCTTCTCCACATCACATGCACGTGGGTTTTACTCGGTAGGCTCGGAAATGGATGGTATGTGGGGTCGTTTTAAGGTTTACCGCCAGGACTATGGAGGTCTTGAAGAGTATCTACTTGTAGGCAAGACACTACCAGACATTGTTCGCATCTACGCAGATCTTGTTGGATATCCCCTTCTGGTGCCGCGATGGGCATTTGGTTATCTGGCTGGCGGAATGAAGTACTCCATGACGGACGACCCCCCTGCGAGCCAAAGCATGATGGAGTTTGCGAGAAAGCTGAAAGAGCATGATATTCCATGCTCGGGTATGCAAATGTCTTCTGGATACACGGTTGCAGAGACCGAACCCAAGACACGAAATGTCTTCACGTGGAACAGACATCGCTTTCCAGATCCTAAAGGCTGGATTGATGCATACCACAAAGAAGGAATTCGACTCATCGCAAACGTCAAGCCGTATGTGCTGGGAAGCCACCCAGAGTACCAAAAGCTCAAGGAGGCCAATGCTTTCTTCACCGATTCACTTACAACAGCGCCGGCTGAAGCTCGTCTTTGGAGCGCCGGAGGTGGCGAAAGTGGTATTGGCGGCCATATTGACTTTACATCAAAAGCTGGTTATCAATGGTGGTATGAAGGCATTCGCGAACTGAAGCGAATAGGAATTGATTGCATCTGGAATGATAACAATGAGTACACTATCCCTCACGACGGGTGGCAATGTGAACTTAGCGAGCCTTCGGTTAGCCAAGAGCCGAAGAATGAAAAGTATGGCCAAGAGATTGGGTTCTGGGGACGGGCACTAAATACTGAGCTCATGGGCAAATCCTCTCACGATGCTTCGTTGGAGGTTGAACCGGAACAGCGTCCTTTTATCTTGACCCGTAGTGCCACAGCCGGGACATTGCGATACTGTGCCAGTGCCTGGAGTGGCGACAACGTGACCTCCTGGCCCGGCATGAAAGGTGCCAATGCTCTTTCCCTGACTGCCGGCGTCTGTCTGATGCAATGTTACGGCCATGACATTGGTGGTTTTGAAGGCCCTCAACCATCGCCCGAACTGCTCGTTCGTTGGTGCCAGCAAGGCATCTACAGCCCTCGCTTCGCAATCAACTGTTTCAAGACTGGCAACGACAACAGCGTCGGCGATGTGATTGAGCCTTGGATGTATCCCGAGACGACGGCATTGGTTAGAGACACCATCAAGCGTCGCTACGAAATGATTCCGTACCTCTACTCGCTTGCCCTGCATTCACACATGACGGCAACGCCTCCACAGCGATGGACTGGCTGGGGATACGAGTCGGATCCCGAGATATGGAACAATAAGGTCTTGACAGACGGCGAGACACAATATTGGCTTGGCGATGCACTGCTGGTAGGCGGCGTTTTCGAAGCCAATGCCGAGAGCGCCAAGATGTATCTCCCTAAAGATGCTTCGGATCCCAGTGCTGAGTTCCTCGATTTAAACAATGATCCCCAGACATACTACAAGGCTGGGCAGTGGGTCGATATCCAAGCAAAGTGGACTGAAAGCATCCCTGTACTAGCAAAGGTTGGATCGGCGATTCCTGTTGGGAGGGCAGAGCAAGTGCTTTCGGTAGGGGAGAAGAGTAACCCTGCGAACCTTGCCCGCGACGATTACCGTGCTGTCGAGGTGTTCCCACCAAAGGCTTCATCAAACGGCAAAGTCTACACAACGACTTGGTACGAAGACGATGGTGTTTCACCGCCGCCCGCGAAGATTTCCGTGTTTGTCGTCAAGTACGAGGCGTCGGAAAGCGAGGTCTTGGTCAGATATGAAGAGAAGTTGAAGCAAGGATTCGAGCCGGCATGGTCGGAATTGGAGATTATCCTGCCTCGAGGTGATTCGAGAAGCGTGTCGTTCAACGGGAACAAGGCTGAGAAGGTAGATACCGATGCAAAGGGGAGGACCAGGTGGAAGGGTGTGGTTGAAAGGAGTGGTAAGTAATCGACGGCTGCACTGATGAACTTGCTAGAATAAAAAAACATTAGACCAAGAACCTTCAATACGATTTGATGATGTCCAATAGCATTAGCATTTCATGTCTTGCCGCTGCCAGCCTATGCCAAGTTGTCATTGAAGCATAAATAAGTAAAAGTGTGATGATTGCTACTTGTAAAACTGACCATTGACGAAGAAAGTATTTTGTGGTAGACGTAATAAAAGTTTTATAAGCCATGGAAATGAAAACTGTATTGTGTAGACTGGTGGTATTGTTGCGGGGGATAAGTAATTTGATTGACAGTCAGATATATCTTCATCATTTCTTCCCCTCAAGTAGTTACGACTTAATTGCGGCCTTAGTAGCTTCCAAAGCACCAACAACTGCGAAACATATCATGGGTGTAACTGCGTAGCTGATCTAGAGATTGGTCAGATGAGGTTCTCTGCTGGGGTTGGCGGTGGCGATGGTGCTTACGGTGAGAAATTTTGCAACAGTCATTTTCATGGACTCGGCAGCACCCGTTACATCACACAAGGCAACCAAGATCATAGCCGGTGGCCCTGTGGGCATCAGCATCATGGAAAACCAGAGCATAGGATCAGCGTCCAATGATCTGGTTTTGGATGCAAGTGCCCATATGAGAGGAATGCTGATGCTAATGTTTATCAGCGAATGAGGTTTACAAAGTGAGGTAATGCGAAACTTACAGAGGCCAGACGATGAAGCGCATAACAAGCACAAGCGCTAGACTCGCCTTGTCTACCTGGCCGCTGTCTTGGCCGTTTTTCATGCGCACCATGCTCTTGCTGAGTTTGACGCCAACGACTATGATTTGCAACGAAGCAAAAAGCTCGCCGACATTCTTGATAGCGGTTGTGAGACAAGCGTTGAGATATCCGCCTTGGTTGCTGGGGCTGAAGAAGAGGCGATGGAGTGGAGGCGTCAAACCAATAATGGCACCTACAAGGGCACCAATCAAAGGGGCATTAGCAAACTGCCAAGTGATGTCGAGTGTCTCTTGGAGCCATGGGGAGAGATTCCTGTACCAGTCGCGTGTCTTGAGATATCCGCTCTTTTCTATCCGATTTGCTCGTTCTACGATGCGACGAGGAAGTAGCGAAGTCTCCTCATTGACGATGCCATGTGGGCCCCTCTCCATGTCTGCAGTGCTAGCATGGCTCTCGTCGGAATCACTAGCCTGCTCGTCTCGGATATGGTCGTCTTGACTCTCCGGACCGTCTTCGTCGCCGGGTTTCAGTAGTCTTGGGCCAAGTGCAAAGGTAAGCGAGTTGCTGACCATGGCGTTAACCAAGAAATACGACTCGGCCCGGTCCATTGCCTGGCTCCCCGATTCGCTGGCAATGAGGATGGCATCGAGAATTCGTGTTTGCTTGAGCGACTGGATGAGAAGCAGAGGGAGAGATGTCGTGTTGTTGAATGCAATGGCGGGCGCTACCCAAGCTGGCAATTTGAACCAGCGGGTGAGGATACGGCCGACAAAAAGAGAGAGGAGGGTATAGCAGACGGACCAGACTGTGTGCCAGCGGTGAGCAATGGTGCGTGGCGCGCGTTCAACTGCGACGGGAGGTTGGCGAACTTACTGAGGATTGGCACGTATCTCAGACCTGTGTCTTGATGCAGATTGTCGCCAATCTTGTAAATCAACAGTGCAGGGAGGAACATGCGCACGCACAATCTGGAAACCTCCTTTGCTGCATTTGGTGATAGGAGATTGCACTGTGCTGCGACGACGCCCAGAGCAATGGTCAGGAGGACCGAGAGGGCGGCCTGCAGGGCGCCGATGAAGGGAACTATCAGTTCGGAGATGGCGATGCCCATGGCTGGATATGGCAATGGAAGGGCCGACTGGACAACAACAGTGGTAGTAGTAAGAAGAAGGTTGGCATTGCTGCCGTCGTTGTCGCCATTGTTCCTGCTGTGCACGTGCTCTCTCAACCAGCCGCGTTCCTGAGAGTGACAGTGACGTCGGTGCAGTGGGGCCGCCGTTGCCATCTGGGACGCTAAATAATCCTGCCTTCCTTCATCCACAGCTTCGGGTACATGGTACCTACTACTATATGCATGTGGTAGCATCAGACTGCTCCAGCCCGATCCCTGTCATGCTCTGAGTCTTTATTTCCGAGAGTCGAGTTGGTACTGACGACAGAGCCATGGAGCAGCTGGATGCGTCTAATCAGCCAAGGGAATCTTAGTAATGTGCTCCATCCATGTGCACATCAATACTAGCGCTGATCTATTGAGTGGGAATAGATTGAATAAGTTCTTTCTTGCATTGGTATAGATATACCACCGAGTAGAGTAGTATACTCCATCACGTGTCTGGGCATGACTATGTTCTTACGGCTCTAGCAGGGACGAAGCGGCCGCCTATGAAATTGAGTTATATATAAAACTTGACGAATGCGAGTCCCCATGTCTTCTCACATTCCAATTGCTATTCGTACAATCACATCCTGTTTTGAGCCCTCTTCCTTGTAACGTCTGTCGATCCAAAAGCTTCATCCAGTCATGGATCAAAACCATCATTGCTAGAGCTACATGACACTCATGCCTTCCTTTTGCCGTTTGAGACTCCAAAGTCGAGCAAATATCCTCAAGTGCAACGATGTACTATCATCTTGCATCTAGTACGCTTTGAAAATCGACAAGGTACTCCTAGTGCATTTCCCTAGTACTGGCTGTCGGCAGATTTAGGCGACAACGTGGGGAGCGCCAAAAACGAAAACCCGGTTTCCACCCCACCATAATCCCAATTGAAACATAATCGGAAGATCAAGGCTGCCCATCCATCCCGCACTGGTTAGCATCGCCAACTGCCTCGGCTTAACATCATCCATCGCAATAGTGCTGTGTGCTCGTAATCAGCCCCACATGCATGTACACGCTACATATGACTCTACTAGCCTAAGAATTATTCTTCAACAGCAGAAGGCTTTGGAAACTATAGCTCCACTGATTGTTCTAGGTACGAAGAAAAGAGTCAGTACTGGTTTAACACTAATCTCGCTAGGAAAAGCATTCATTGTATTGCAGAGTCAATCGTTTTTGCAGTTGCGCTAACCAAAGTCAACAAATTCAAGGCATCAACATGTTGGATGGAGACCGTGGCCTTGTGACTGTATATCGCTCTCTTCAATACGCCCTATGGAATTTGCACAGCTGACATAGTTCGCAGATAACAGGCGCGAATGGAACTATAGGCTACGCTTGCGTCGTATATGCCCTTCAAATAGGCTATCGCGTGCGTTGCGTTGTACGCCGCCCATCAGCCATTGAAACTATCAAATCCGGGCCTTCTGTTCAACCTTACCTCAGCCTTCTTGAGTTCTGCATTGTTCTAGACAATGCGGTCGATGGTGCATATGACAAAGCCGTTGCTGGTGCGGATTACGTTGTGCATGTAGCTGGTGTGTGGCCGTTGCTGCATCTGCACCCAGACACGGACATTTATAGTCCGTTCATTAACTCAACTAAGGGCTTAATCAAGGCCGCACAAAAGTCAGTTACAGTGAGGAGAATTGTCTTCACCCAAGCCGGTGCAGGTTTGGTTGATGCAGCCGATGGGGACACGCTGGGCACACGCATGTATCATACAATGGACGGTAAAACTCACCCCATGGCTGTTTTCACCAATCGTTCTCTTACTGAGCCGTGCAGAGCATGTACAAGTGTCACCGACTTCGCTCAAGTATAGACCGCCGCTAGAATCACCCCACCACGCATACTGCGCTGGCAAAGCTCAATGCATGGCGTTCCTTGCGGATCTCCAGGCCAGTGGAAAGCTTCCCTTTTCCATTGCTCAAGTCATTCCAGGGACGGTAATTGGCCCTTCCGAGTTCTGTCGCACTTCTGCTGAAGCTTATGTTCACCTTGATCGGCAAAGTAAAGCGCTTCTTTTTGACAGCGTGGCTCCGCGATATGCATTTGGGTTCGTGCACGTGCAAGACTGTGCAAAGGTGCACATCGAGGCTTTGAACGAAGTCAAGGTGGAAAGCAAATATCTTCCAAAGTGGTTTGTTGCTGCCGGGACAGTGCAAGAGGGCTTGGATGGCCAGAAGATCTGGAATGCAGCTGCAGATATGGTTGAGAAAGACTTCCCAAGCCAGGTAAAATCAGGGTTGTTTAAGGTTGGGCGAGGCAAAGTACCTATCAACATGCCGTTTCGCGCCGAGTCGAGGCTCACTGAAAAGTTACTCCTTCAAGGCGACAATATCAGGGGGTTAAACGAGAGCGTTAAGGAAGTAGCGCAGTGGTATGTTACCCTGAAAGAGAATGAAGCTTAATATGATGTCTTGTCCAAGGAGTATGCCACCTTGTAGGCACGGATTTTTCTACCATTTGAAGCTTTCTTCGAAGTACTCTATACCCGTATGGCCCATGCCTAACATCTGTACACTAGCTTTCCTTGCTTGATCAGCCATAAGTGCTGGCCCACAGCAAACAACAGCTAGTGATACCCGACGTGCATTCTCTGCTGCTTCCTTCACAACCTGGTACACATTGGGTCTTTGGGTCGCGATCTTGACATTCTTGAGGTCTTTGTCAAATATTTCATCATCATGGCCAACGTCCTTCGTGATATGTACCTCCATATCAATCCTCTTGTTGCCCAACACGCTGTGAAAATCACGGAGCAGTGTGGTGAGAAATGCGCGTTCACGAACTGCCCATACTATCTTTACGTGCAAGACCTGTGATGAACCGGTGAAAAGTCCACTGAGATGTGATAGCGGTATCGCGACCCCTGTACCCCCGACTAAGAACAACACGTTCGCAAAGGTACGCAGAGGGGCGACATGGCCATACGGCCCATCGACAAGAACCCGGATCTTTCTTGGATGTAACAGGCAACTTGATCTCAATCGTGATGTGAACCCATTGTAAGGTCTGATTAGAAACACCAAATTAGACGAAGCTTTTGGTACGTTGTTTGACAAGAGTGTATCTGACTCAGTTGAGGAATCTGGTGGATCTTCTGTGTTTTCAGGGCTAGGTGATAGGGGCGCTAGAGATGTGATCGCTGACGATGTTGCATCAGGCGAAACGAAGGCCAGCGTAAATGGGTGACTCTGATGAGCATATCGTATGTCATCAAGAACATGGACATAATAGTATAATCCTGGTCGAGGAGCTAATAAACTCTTGCTGCCGTCCACATCCAGACGTACGAGGTTGCTACATGCATCATAAGTCGCTTTGGCATTAGTGTCAAGCGGTCTACGGTTGAATGCGAAGATCCGAGCAAGACGCAAAGCGCGGTCGAGGATCCAAAATGCAGCGCAAGGCCATATAAATATGTTCCACTCTCCGGCAGTGAATATCTCAACGTGGTAATACATGGTCCATAATACTGCGACAGAAAGCGCAATGTGCGTGGCCAAGAAGAAATCGTAGTGTTGGCGGCGAATGGTATACACCGAAAAAACAACAAGTGTACACATTGCAATGGTTGCAATTTCGCCATTCCAAAAGTAGTGCTCTTTCCAGTACTGGGAAAAGCTTGGCCAACCTCCACTCGCCAGGATCATCACCGTGTATCCCACACTGTGTGATATGGCCTGTATAGTTGCGACTCTTGCAACCCATCTATGAAACGCATTGTACGTTCCAAACCCCCACCCGGTTATCCAAATGAGAACATCATTACGCATCCCAAATAGCCAGAGCAAAGGGAAATTGGCGAGAGATATAATGCCCGTTCGATCCGACACGAAGCGTAGTAGCTGTGCAGACTTCTCTGGCCAGTAGAGGTTCCCTTCGGTGAGCCGATAAGAGCAACTGCAAGCTGCTATATTGAATATAACAAACAGAAAAATGGTAAGTGATTGGATCCGAGGAGGTATGGTGCACAAGCCATAGGGCCGCGCGCAGCGGTTGCCAAATGCAGCTGGTATTATGAGATTGCGTCGCAGCCAGGATAAAATGAAAGCAGAGGCAGTGCGCATATTTCGATTAGGATTCTCTTGGATCCTAGGAAGTCTCAAGTATGGCGTTTCCGTAGATCGACGCTTGTAGACGAACAATAAGAGACGATTCGCGACGCCAATAAGGACTACTATAATCCAAAAGTAGTACATGTACCACCTGGAGACTTGTGTCAGCGACTGTATTTGGGACATAAGCTGGATCATTTACCCGTATACAAGATGTATTTTGTACTCCCAGTTAGCAGTTTCCTGTATTACAAACGCATTAGCACGGCCCTCTTCACTCAGATAGGTGGATACTGTACCACAGTGGTGTATGCTCGCTTAAATAGGTCATGTTCAGGTATCACCAGATGGTTTAGGGATGGAAACTCCAGGGCGTTGGTGGCAGATAATCTCTCCACCTTGTTCTTAGCCTCTGGTGACCACTGATCCAAAACGTGTTGCAGGGAAGGTAATGTGACGTTTGTATTGTGGGAGCACCACAGGCTTTGAGTCTCTATCCAACTCGCGACTGCGCCATCTCGTTGGCAGAATTCATCGAAACATAGATATAGAGACGTAATGCGCAAGTCGCTGCGACACGCGTTTACTTTCCAAGGCAGTAGAGGGTTGCTATCGTTAAAGGTCACGTAGTTGATTGTCGTTTCGCAAGACAAAGGACAGTCGTGTCCCGTGTAGAAATCATACGTTACATTCATCAGTGCGAAATTGGAGTTTGGGTAGGTAGGAATGCGCGAGAAAGAACGCGTTGCAGGACAATAAGCCGTAGTGGTGCAGTCTCGGATCTATGGCGGGGAAAGATAAATTTCATCAGATAACTAGTTAGTTAACACTGCACTAATACGTAATCATCGCTGATGTATCGGCGTTAACTCGGCGTTTGCCGTCCAATTTACCTACTCACTAAATGCTTCTCACAGTACCAGATTTTAGAGATTAGCTGTGATACTTACTACTATAGTTTTATATCCCTCAAGAAAAAGCTAAAAGTAAACAACTATGGAATTGTGAGGTGTTTCGCGGATAGGCACAAAGTATATCAGTTGAAGTGAATTAAGACGAATCCTTAAGGAGTGACCTTAGGTTCGGACGAGACTATATACCCTATGCACGTGACTGGGACTGCCCTGGCCCGAGGGGCACCCAATGGATCTCCGAGGGTTATCCGCCGGTTCAGAGTATCGTGGCAGGAATCAAGCAGTACAGTGTAACAGATGAAGTAGAGAAACACGATAGCAAAGTGGGACGCATAGAGAGAGAAACGAAAGATTTTATGGCCAGCCAGATGCAATTTCTGGCCCGATAAGAAGAAGTGGTTGCACATGAACGCCAACACACAGCCCGAGGACACAGGTAATTCCTTTCACCGGGCTACCTCAGGATTGAAATTTCTTTCGGATACCCTACCGTCTGGGAAAAGCAGACCTACAAAGTAATCGACAAACCCGATAGACTGTGATAAGTCCCGAGATTTCCCTAGGAGAGTGCTTCTTGCTGGAGGTTCCGCGCACCGTGAGTATTTCCCGATATTGAACACTTTCGAAGAAAATATTGCTACCAGCTGCTCCAGTATGCAACCCGTTTAGCGGTCTATGCTTGACAGGAGGAATTGCTGATGTGGGTGGCCTCTTTGACTGTCTGATCAGCACCGCAACTGGGTAGGCAGACGACTCAATCTCGGATAAGTATAGCGAGATCCGAAGTAAGATATACAGAGAGTTCACGGATCTAATTTCTACGGCGAACATGCGGTGATTGTGTTAAACGGACCCTAAGACGGCTGCGGAAGACCCAGTTCTCCAGATGATGAACAAGGGAAACACAGATCCGGTCCCAGCTGCGAAGATGGTTGCACATATGCATTCAATATCACACAACTTTACACAGTATGACAAATTCATAGAGAACCAGACCCAGACGCAGAAGTAAGAAAGAGATAGTATTAGTTATCGTCTTCCAGGTCTTCTACTGTACGGAGTGTAGACTTGGATTTGCCAGGTTGCTTGCCTATGTCAGCCGGGAGAACTGCTTGCCGTTGTTGACATCTTGTGATAAGATCCACATTATATCTGCTCATCTGATGCAATAAGCTTGCATAAGACCCTAAACTGACTGCCGGAGGAATCTTGCACTGAAAAACAGGTCCGAAATGTCATTTTTGTGAGATTTCTAAGCAGCTACATGTAAAATTGCACGAAGATTACAAATATGACTAGAAGTTTCAAGGTGATCACTCGCTGATGTTAAATTAGGGTCGAGAGATGTGGGACAAACAAACATAGATATCAATATAAAGTCGTCAATGAGAAGTTTCCAATATAAACACACTGGCTTTGATCTGGCGACACATATCCAAGATATTTAGAAAGGCTTCATTCTAATATCAAACCATGTGCTCTCTAAAGCGAATCTTACCTTTTATCTCCCTGTCCATTGCCACGCTCCAAACCACTCCGTTGAGGGATGTCAGTCTTAACTACCAACCTCGTCCTTACAATGTCAGCATTGACCTATTCGTGATTGAATCGCCCCGTAAGAAAGCTAGTATCTTCCGTTCTACCGTTAATACCTCAGCCCTAGCATGGTTCGACAGTCTTCTAGCTACAGACACAAAGTTAATCGTAAGATACTGGGTAGAAGAGTACGACTGACTGACTATCCAGACCTCCATTAACACGAACTTCTCAAACTTCTATATTACTGTTCCGCCCCCTAATAGACCTTACAATGAGTCTGTAAACCTCCACTTCATTTACTAACGCAGTTCACGGCCTGATGTAATTCCTATCCTTCTCCTCCACGGCTGGCCATCGACCGCTCTTAAATGGGTATCTACAATACCTAGCCTTGTTTCTCCAGATAATAACAGCGAACCTGCATTCCACATTATCGCGCCCGATATCCCTGACTTTGGCTTCTCCTCTGTATTGAACAATTTTCGCGTCGGCGTTAGTAGCACCGAATACGCAACTATATTCGCTTTATTAATGTGATAGCTCGGCTACAAGAGATATGCTGTGTATAGTACTGATCTGGGAACTACAATTGCTATGGGCCTTGTGGTTAATCCTGCTGAGAGTGTTATGCAGTATGTAACAGATTTCTATATCACTTTTCCTGGCCCTAGTGACTAGGCCCGTTATGCTTCGTATTAGACGTCCGAGGAGAAAAATTAATATATTGGGTCGTTGAGTTCATTCCTTGATGCTCACAATGGTTGTTGGGCGATATAATGAACATATCTATCATCTCCAGCGTATGCGATGATTGATAGCCCCTCGGGTCTTCTAGCGTGGGTATATTATCTTTCTTCGACGATGAACGATCGATCGTAGGGAGAAGCAGAGATTATCACCAATCCGCTACTATTATGACACCAGGGGGTGTATAGTTATATCGGGTGCTATTAGGAGTTATTTAGTAGTACTATGTTCTTACTAGATAGGAACTTTACAGTGCCAACAAGTGTGTTGTAGTTTGGAGGCCTAAGACTATATCCGGGACTTGGTAGCTTGAATTATGTGGCGAATTGATAATCTCGAACTTCATAAATAAGGACTAACGATAGATTAGCCACTCGAGTGGGCGAAACGAATAACAAGTGTTACAAATATCGCGCGTGAAGGCGAGGGAGAACATTTCCCTACAGTAACAGTACCAGACTTAGTAGTAAAATATATCCAGACTACTTTCGTGTCACGATACTCTGAACTGGAGGCCCGGCAAAGCCAACCTTCAGAGGGCCATCAGGTAGACCTTGGGCAAATGGAGCTATAACTATAGGTTATATATCTACTCTATTTTGTATATTCTTTAGCGAACTTGGACGTAAGGTTGTGAACAGGGTTAGGGTTATTGTTGAACTTGAAACGGAATTATACGAGCCCTTGCTTATGCCTAGGAACTGCGAGCCTTGGCCCATGAAGGCGAAGAGAATGTTTAATTTCCTCTTTGGTCGGTTTATCTACGCTCCCATTCTCTGATGCTTTGCTGATTGCTGAGCGAATTTCGGGGATCGAGATTCCCGCAAGTGCAACTCTGTGAGCATGGTGCTATCATCCAGCTGTCGTGGTATACGGGAGTTGCGGTAGTGATATGTGATCATTTTGCAAGTGGCGAAGCAAGTTCTTGAGATTGCCCACAATGGACATTTCAATGTGTGCTGAAACGATCACAATATGATCCTTCCAGGGATAAATCTCTTCAGCGACAGAGGAGATCACAGGGGCGTCTTTTGATATCAGAGCCGTGTTATCCTAGTTGAGCTAAAGCTACTGAGCAGAGCCCTTCTCGGTGTAATATTACCCTCCCTCTTCCACAATGTAGACTCAGAAGTAATACATTGACGTTTCTTGCCTTGAGGTCGGAAAATTTTCGATCGATGTTGCTCCCTGGTTTGATACATAACGTGATGTGGCTGAAGGGCATTGTGCTGCATTATGAGCAGGACCTTGAAGATACTCGTTACATCACGGATACCTCCATAACCTATATTAGACTCTGAGCCAATAAAGAGTGCATTAATCCTGCGGGCCTTCTTTTTTGGAGCAAAGCAGGTTGGAACTGACTTCACCCTCTTCTGCATCTCCTACCTGGGTGCCTGCACACATTTGCTATGTCGATATCGTAAGTAGACAAAGCGCAGATTCCGAACGTCACCCCGCCTTTAAGTTTAACCGGACAGCCTTTGACGACTCCTACAAGCGACAAGGAGTTATCTGCAGCAGCGCGTCACCTTACCAAGAATCTTTAGGACAGAAAAGAAGGGAGAGATTGCGACTTAGACCCGGAATAAGAATTTCAGCTTTCTAAGAGAGGATACGAGGATATATGTACAATATAATTGATGAAGATTTGGGCTTTAATCTGATATCAAAGGCAAGATACGGTTAGTCTATTGTAGACACTGCAACAGCTATAGCTAAAGATAGACATTAACATAAATGACCAAGATCAAGACCAACGCGAACTAGTTGTGCGAAGGCCTAACCCCTAACACAACCTTATTGATATAATAAATGCCCCCCGCTTTAAGAGATTCTCATATAAAAGTCCAATTTATCATAAAGCGTCGATACTAAAGAGACAAAGACAACACAGTTCTACCTCTCAGTCTTATTGTGCGCAATATAGATCTTGTTTCTTAACCATCTGTGAGGGGCTACACTCTGTAACCCTAGTCCTATCTCACCATCTCTTTAGATGATCTCCTTAGTGATCGTTATCATGTTGCCATCGCTGAAAACCTGGGTGCCGACGAAGTCGCCAGTCGCATCTTGGTTGAGCAGGAGAAGCCTTCTGCCACTCTTGTCCTCGAACTCGCGGAACTTCTTGCCTGAGACGCGGGACACAGCATCCATAAAACCCATATCTGTATAGGTGCAAACTTTCCGTTAGCCACCAAAAAGATATAAAAGGGGAAAAGAAGACAGCAACATGGAGATACTCACTGCGGCGGAGCTTGACGTTCTGGAAAGCGCCATTCACGAGGCGGAACTCGCTGCCGTCGTCGTTGGCAGTGAGTGTATCGCAGAAGGTGCTGGCAAAAGAGAGTCAGCAAGAAATGTTACGATTTCCGGTTGGGGTAGGAAAAGAAAGAATGGAGAGAAAAGGAGATAAGCAACTCATGCGCCGCCGTAGTTTATGACAAAAATATCAAACTGGTCACCATCATTGATGGTTTTATAAAAATTACCGAGCTGTCCTCCTTCGCCTGTGATTTCACGGGAAATGTTAACTTCATCTCATCATAACACCCGTGGATAGTCATCAAGCGCCCCAACTTACTGTGATTGTCCGTGTCAACAACACAGCGCAGGATCGTGCCCGCACCTCCCTCGTGTGTGCTAGCAAATGGGTACTCGTCACACGAGTTGCCCCACTGGTTGTAGTTCGTGTTGGTGCATGGCCTACGGTTGCAGCCAGACGCCGTGCGGCGCGGGCTGCGGTTGGCCTTGTTGGCGTCATATGTTAGCGTTCCACTGGTGAGCCCATGGTTCACGACATAGCAGGCGTTGTTGCACGTCCCCAGCGAGTTCGTACAATCCCAATCGAAGGAGACAGCGTGAACGATACCAGCGGCGAAAAAGACAAGGGAGACGGCGGGAAGAACGGGGAAGTGCATTTTGACTTGGTGGTTTCGGAATTAAGTTTTAGAAAGAATATCAGTGCAGAGACAAGTTAGGCAAGGAACGAAAGGGTTTCTTTCAAGCAGCTGTGCGAAAGTGGTTGTGTTTTTGTTACATTCTTGGAATCCCCTGAGGACAAGCAGGTTAAAATACCTTTGTCTTCAGCACAACGGCACGTCCTTCGAGGTGGTCTGGCTCCCGAGTCACCACAGCTGGCTTCATAACTGAAACGATCCAACGGATTGTAGCTGCATTGCCCGAGCTGCAGCAATGCAGGCCTAGAGGACTTCCTCAACAGGCTATGATCAGACTGGTCAATACTTCTCGGACACCGCGAGAGCTTCCGTAGGGACACCTAATGGACGAAACTAAATGTTCAAGGCACGCAGGGCTTACAGGTTGGACAAAAATGGAAGACCTAAGTGCCATCATCGGAGGCAGATTTGACTTATTTCAGCCATAAGTAGGACATTCGTAGGTTTCAGTAATATAAAACATGATTACAAGACCTCACCATAGATTTAAGGAGGATTTCCGACCCCAAATGTTTATCAGGCGCCCCTATGTATTCATCACCCGGCGTCACCGCAAGTTTCAATCCCCGATTCTTAATGTCCGGACTTGTTATGTTTAACTAATATCGTGATGATCTGCTGTTAACTATAGCTTACCATTGTGCATGTGGATGGTGGAGGTTTGGTTAGTGTGATTGGCACTCTGAGTGAAATATAGCTCCACTTCTTAGTTTGGAGAATGTTATGTATCATCTGTCTACGGAGCGCGATCCCTGTCGTTACTGAATGGGGTAGCTCGTCCCCGCTGCCGTTCTAGTGCCTCAAACTGATGTTCCTGCCATTGGTCACGTTGAGGGCTTTTCTAAAATCGAACTTTTGCGATTCCATGATCGGACATTTTTCATGATTGGATTTCAGGAATTCTCAAGCACTAACTTCAATTTTGTTTGTTCCTCTTCATGGTTTGAAATTGTTTGCGGCTACCTTTAGTATTATAATAAGATACCAAGAACTGATACACAGCGTAATGGAATCGGTGCCTGAGGAGACAAAAATCCGCCCCATCTTCAGAATTCACATGACCTAGAGGATGAATATTCCCACTCTTCCAAAGTAGGGACACATAATGCCCTGATAGTACTTGCTCTGCGAGCCAAGAAACTACTCGGATTGATATCCTGTTTATCTGCAGGAGGGTTGCTAACAATCACCTTGATCGGCAGATTAATTGATGGACGTGCCTCGAAGTGCTCTTTGGAATCATGCATGGTCTTACCGTCGGTACGTCCGCGAGTCAATCTGTCGATCAACTTAATTGTCAGCAACTTTGATCTGCAGTGCCGATCATGAGGATAATAGAAGACCATCGGTGATTCGAAGTAATATACCTTCATTCATGTGGATATTATAACAAAGACGGTAATTATTGAGTATATTCACTGTCAAGATCTAATCCACTAAATAATGGTCGAGTAGCTTATCTAAAGAGCAAAAGGGAAGGCAGCAGAGGAAATGATATGTATATATAGAAAACTAGAGCAATTTTCTATACAACCCTCGTCATAACAATTACGCCACTGAGTGCATCCTCGTAAAATTAAGCACCCAACTTCTTCCGAGGGGCCGGGCAGCCCTTCTGCGGGCCCTGCGTAGAAACAGGCGTCCCATAGACCCCATCATTGCCCTGGGCATCAGCGATGCTCTGAATCTCGGCAAATCCGATGGAACATATATCGAGCGAGATGAGCGTCCTCTGGACTGCTGAAAAGGTTACACGAACTGTGTCGACTGTGCCATTCGGGTCCCGAGCCGCTAGCAGCGCAGTGTTGTCACGGGTGGAGCGCTCGTCCAGGACAACGAATAAGCTAGCATTTTGAAAGACAGGATGTTGAGCGGCGTTTTCAACAGATTTACCAAGGAATGGCGAGGTAAAGGGCTGTAATGGTGATCGCGATGCGCTCGAGGTAAGAGCGTCGCTGCCTTTATCGCTGGTATTGCTGGTCGTAAGGATCACGAGGCTCGGAGAGGTGCCTGGGACCAGCTGCTCGCTGCTAGTATACGCATCCTTGAGAAAATTTTCCAAGATCTTTTGTTCAATTTGTATTAATCACTTTGCCTCTGCTTCGGGAAAAGTTTGAGCCGATCGGGAAGGACGATACTTACGGAGGTTGGGATATCTACAGTGCAGATGACGGGGAAGAGCTCTGATTCAGGCATGTTGGGCAATGCAGTAGATAGTCGTATTTGATATGTGTTTCTCTTCGTGTTGGCTCTTCTCCACAGCAATATATATATATCGCAAGTAGTAGCGAAGCTAAGTCCAGTCGACGTGGTTGGTCTACGTCTTTGGCCCCCATGAAACAAATGTGGGGGCCGATGACGTAACAAGTACTATACAGAGATAGATCAGGAATACAAAGCGCAGGGAGCACATTAATGTACCTGGTATGTAGAGTTCCACGTTGGCATCCTAGAACAGAAAGGTGCGGCTGGGGCGTGCGTATGCCATCTGCGCGCATTATAACAAAGTAATGTAATTGGACTTTACTCCAAACATTACGTCTATACTATCCACATCTAGCTAACTGGTTTTGACCAGATCACAAGACTACATAGCGGCTAGCTATATATTATCTGGAAAACCCCGCTTTATGCTGATTTTCTTAGCATCAGCTACTTAACAACCTTTTAATTCACTAATAGACTTCTATAACACTCTAAAATCATAGCTGCAGTTAGGTTCGGAGTTAAGACCCCTATAGATACTAACCTAACACAGCTAGGCAGTTGTTATGTTATACATTAGAAGATGCAGCAGCTCTCCTAGTAATACCTCTACTAGTTCCTACCCGTGCTTAACATTATACCTACTACAGTAGAGCGGCGCGAGGTACCCGATTACGAAAAAGAGTAAGAAACTAAAGATTATTGCATATAAAAGCAGTTCCTTCTTGTATCTAATGCAGAAATGCGATCTAGGACCTAAAATTAATTCAAATCTAAAGAAAAAAAGCGAGTTGTAGAGAATTACTAGATTCATAGGCGTATAAGGTCAGACTAATAGTCTCTAATAATATCATTGTAAAAGTGTGTTATAAAATCTATGATTATGATTGTATTACTAGGTACGTAATTACTATTAAAGTCTTCTTTAGTGTAAGGGGCTGCGCTCTGGGGAGTAATCGCGAGGTATATAAGAGGTTATGTTTGATAGAGAGCTAAGATCCCAAGTTGCGTAGCTATATATATAAGCTGGTTACCTGAGTAACAATCGAGCCGATGAAGTCTAGGTGCACGAAGCAACTTCTGGATCCTGCGGCTGTCGTCTGAACGTCGTTTAGGCGGTGCGCGGAGAATCCGGGTGCTTAAGGTAGTACCCAGATTCTACGAGTAGACTGAGATTCTATTGAGGAGCCATCTAAAGGGCGTTCAGCCCGTTACAAGAGGCGTATCTAGCTTAACTAAGTAGCTATTAATTATCTTTACTACTATATACTTAGTATTTTTTTAATCAAGCTTCTTTATGGTTCGCCTTATACTACACTACTAGTTAAGCTTTAGTTATACTTTATTACTTACTTAGTAGCTTTATACTTCTCTCTAAGTCTTATTTACCTATGTCTCTATTCTTACTATCTTAAATAATCCAACGGCAATTTCACTATTAATTTCGGTAGCTTATAACGCCGTTTATAGATACTAACTTACTATAAAACCCCCCTAATCGTGCAGGCAGTAGCCTAAGTGGAAACTACTCTAGCTTTCCTATTTTGTCTAGCGTAGGCGTTAAATAAGTTAAGAGGCTAATTTACTTTCTCGTTAGAAAAGCTATAGCATGCCTACAACCTAACTCACTCTTCTAAACACTATAAGTAAATATAACCGAATCTATAATTATTCTACTAGTAGAGTATTAAAGGCTCTCTTCTCGCTGTCTATATTAATAAAAGCTAGGCCTTATTCTTCTTCTCTTATCTCTGTTACAGCCTGTATTCTCCTTAGCTTCTACTAGCTCTACGTATACTTGCTTTACCTCTCTTTTATACTTCTTTTCTAAATTTTTTATACAATATACTACACCACTTATTAGTCAAGAGTAATAAATTTACCAACAAAAATAAACAGAACGGAGCATAGCTCTTCCCTAACGACAATCATCCGCCTAAATACTATCTTCAACAACTAGCGAATTTCAACAAACAAGAGTACGCTAAGAAGGACTATAAGGATAGTAGAACTCACTTACTTAATCGTATAGAGGATTAGTAGAATTAGTAGGTCTCCTATTACCTTAGAGCTTACCCTAGATCTTATAGACTAACCTAGGATAGGTGCTAGACGTACCTTAAGAAAGACTATTACCATACTTATACAACCGTTTCAGTCAGCACTTTATACATTTTTTAACTAGCTACTTCGCTAGCACTAAAGTAAAGGCGGCAGAAAACGCTAAGAAACTAAATTCTCTAGCTCCCTAGGAACGTATTAGAAGGTTTTCTAGCTAGTATATAAAAGAGTAACTAGTATAAAACTAGACAGAAAGATAAATCAGAGCATGCATAAGGTACAGCTATCTAGTTTTCTAATTACAGTCTTATATAAGCACATATATCTAGTTAGTTAACGGGTTCTATTAGTAAGCTGAAAATATCAGTAAGCTAAACGCCCTACCAAACTTAACCCGACGCTCTACACTACAACTACTATACTACAATAACAACCCTTTACTTAGACTTTTTATGAAGGTAGAATAAGCCTTACTATCATATTTTATCTTAGTAATATAAACTAGTCTATCCACGCTTTTACAAAAGCGTATAACGTACTAAAGTTAACACTATATACGCGCCTCCACGGTACCCAGCCATAATTAGAGACAGCCTCTATTAGTCGCAAGCTATTAACTATCGAAGAGCAATCTCTTATATAGTAGATTCTAGACCTTAACCAACGCGGTTTTCCGCCCTATATTATTAACGTACAACGGATGGCAGACGCTCTACTTACCGCGCGTGGCTAAAATCTATCTTTATAACCTATAGGCAAGTACTAGATATCACGTTTTATCTAGAGTTAGCTAGAGCTCTAGATAAAGTAGGCTAGAAATTTTAGTAGCCAGCGCTCTCTCTCTAAGAATCCTATCATAATCGCAGCTTAGTTTAAGCTAGTAGAGAAGACGCACTAAACGTATAGCGTCTTAGACTAGGATATCTACAACTTTAACGAGACTAGATTCGCAATAGGCGTCGCTATCACGTCTAAGGTAGTTATAAGCTCTAATAGAGTCAGCTAAGTAGTTTTCGTACAGCTAGGCAATCGCGATTAAGTAATAGCGATTAAGTGTATTAATACGTCTAGCTAGAGTCTTCTACTATTTATAATCCTATCTGGTAAGGTCTACTAGAGTAGCTAGTACCATAACCTCTTACTAGACTAGACTATCGGCGTCTTAGACAACGGCTAGACGACTAATTAGCTTAGTATAGTGCAAGTAAAGTATTTTAACTAGTATATAGCATCTCGTACACCTAGAGTCTATCGGCTTCTTATATTAGACGGCTATAGCAGCTACGCTATACTAGAGTTCGACTAGTACTACGTAGAGAACAAGATTATTACTCTCTATATACCGCCTTACACCTCCCATCACCTCTAGCCTCTAGATATGAGCTACTTCTCCCCACTTAAGCGCGCGTACGGGCGTAAGATTAAGGAACTCGACCGCTAAGTCGTCCACTATATTAACAAGATAGACTTCCTTACGACCTATACACGGATCCGGCCGACTATATTTGCGTAATAGAATATCCTAGGTAGGCTTTCGGGCGATAGGACTTGTCCCTCCTTATCTAGATCGCATTCTATCGTCGCTTATAGTAGCTAGAACACCGTCTCTACTATAGACAACTACAGATAACAACGTTATAGCGCAGGTAGCAGCGCAGATAAAGACGCCGCATATAGTAGCAGAGCTTTGGCAGCAGGTACGCTATCTTTAAGAGCGACTAAGCCGATAGCTAGAGAGTCTAATAAGCGTTGCGATACGCTAGCTTGCTAAGAGCGCTTAGCTCATAATGTAATTAGCAACGATACTTATGGAGGAGAATAAGAAGCTATGTAAAGAAAATTAGCGCTAATGATAAAAGTAGAGCCAGCCGCGTTAATATATTGCTTCTAGTAGAGTGCTCTAGGTACAGCAGGCTTAGTAGCTTGCTACATAGGCAGAAAAGTTACTTATAGAAGATAGTCAGAACCAGGCTGGTGAGCTACGTCGGCGCGCGCCCCCAACGTGCACGAAGTGTCACGTTGAAGGACATACTCGGACTTTATGTAGAGCTAAATAAGTAATTATATCTCTAATTTTTATCTAATTTAACTACGTCGTTATAGCTTAATAGTGCGGAGCGTTAGGTTAAGTCTGGTGGGCTACGTAGCTTACTAGGGTGCGCAGCTTACTGGTGGAGCACGTTAACGTAACTAATAGGTACTAAGGAAGCTAGCGAAGAAGCACGATCTAAAAAAGATTAGTTAGGATAAAGCCTGTATATATGTTAAGGATCTGGCTCAAGTGCTGCAAACAAATCTAGTAACAACTAAAAAGAGATATTCTTACGGTCGCTATAGGATATACGCCTAGCTCTATCTATAACTTGGTGGGTTTATAGCGAACTAACCCTAGGCTCTTCTCAGTCTCTTTTATCGCTATATATAAGTCACTCTTCTACGTGATCCTAAGAATAGCTCTCATTGAGTACTGTTAGATTTTACTTTCAAATTTACAAAGGAATTTCTTACTATTAAAGACTTATACATTATCGTTGCGTATAAGAAAATTATACGCTAATTAAATTTTCCTTAAAGAATACCTTTCCCCTTCCTAAGATTATATACGATTGGACGATCCTCTTTAGTCCTTACTAGGCTGGCAAACGGGTTGCCTTCGGGTTGCTAAGTCGGGTTACTAAATATCTTAGCGATTACTTGTTCAAAGTAGATGATTAACAGCTTATTTTAAAGCTTTTAAGTAGTACTTTAACTTATATATATAAAGTTTTTGAATATTATTTTGAACTATAGAGTTGAAGCTAAAAAAGAGCTACTTTTAGGGGGGTACCCGAGGGCCTACCCGACCCGAACTTCCAAAAGTCAGGTTGCTAAATAACTTTTTAATTAACGTGCGGGATCAGTAAGCTGGAAAGATCAGTAAGCTGAACGCCCCACCCAACCTGACGCGACGCTCCGCGCAATTGCTCTACAACAACGCAATAATATTAGATAGAAATAAGAGATGTTATTCTTTATTTAGCTCTACATGAAGTCCGAGTGTGTCCTTCAACGTGACACTTCGTGCACGTTGGCGGCGCGCACTGGCGTCGCTCGCCAGTCTGGTTCTGGCCACCCCCTATGACTACCATTTCTGCCTCTGTAATGATCTGCTGAGCCTGTTGGACCCGGAGCACCCCACCAGAAGCGATATATTGACGCTGCTGGTCTTGCCTTCGTCGTTGGCGCTGGTTAGTCGTACGTAGCTTCTTATTCTCCTTAGCAAGTATTGTTGCTGATTGCATTGCAATCTGACAGCCTTTGATAACTTGGCGGAGAAGCTGGCTTGTTGGGCTTTGTGATTCCCGACGGAGCCGGTCTTGAAGAAGCTTTGCCTGCTGCTGTAGCTGCGCTACTGTATGTGGTGTTTCTAGCTGCGTTGCGGCGATATTGTCTATAGTTGTCTGTAGTGGAGACGGTGTACGGACAACTGTAAGCGACGATAGGACGCGATCTGGATAAGAAGGGACAAGGCCTGTTGCTTGAAAGCCTACCTGGATGTTCTGCTGCGTGAATACTATTGACCGGATCTGTTGATAGACTGTAAGGAAGTCTATCTTGTCAATATGGTAGACGCCTTGGTAGGCGAGCTTCTCGACCTCACGTCCGTACGCCCGCTTAAGCGGCGAGAAGCAGCTTACATCAAGCGGCTGGAGAAGATGCGACGTATGAGGCGGCATGCAGAGAGTGATGATCTTATTCTTAGCGCAGTACTGGTCGAACTCTGGCGTAGCGTGGCTGCTCTGGCCTTCTAGGATAAGGAGCCGATAGACTCTAGCCGTACGAGTCGCTGTATGCTGGTTGAAGTGCTTCACTCACTCTACTCTAAGCTGATTAGTCGTCCAGCCGTTGTCTGAGACGCCGATAACCTAGTCTAGCGGGAGTCCATTGTACTAGCTGCTCTGGTGGACCTTGCTAGACAGGATTATGAACGGTGGCAGACACTAGCCAGACGCGTTAACGCACTCGATCGCTGTAACCCACTGGCGATTACCTAGCTGTACGATAACTGCCCGGCCGACTCTGTCAGAGCTTGTGACTACCTTAGACGTGCTAGCGACGCCCATTGCGAATCCAGTCTCATCAAAGTTGTAGATATCTTGGTCTAGGACGCCGTACGTGTGGCGCGTCTCCTCTACTAGCTTAAACCAGGCTGCGATTGCGACTGGATCCTCGCAGGAGGCGCGCTGACTATAAAATCTTCTAGTCCACTTCGTCTGAAGCTCTAGCTGGCCCTGGATAAAGCGTGACACCCACTTCTTACCAACAGGCTGTGGAGGTGGATCTTGGCCGCGCGCAGTGAGTAGAGCGTCTGCCATTCGTCGCACGTCGATGATATGGGGCGGAAAACCGCGTCGGTCAAGGTCTAGGATCTACTGTACGAGAGACTGCTCTTTAATAGGTGATAGCTTGCGGTTAATAGAGACTGTCTCTGATCGTGGCTGGGTACCGTGGAGGCGCGTGTATAGTGTTGACTTTGGCACATTGTACGCCTTTGCAAGAGCGTGAATAGACTGCTTTGAATTATTATAATAAGATGCTATAGCAAGACTTATTCTACCTTCACGAGCAGTCTGTATAGAACGTTGTTGTCGCGGCATTGTGGTGGTTGTGTAGAGCGTCGCGTCAGGTTGGGTGGGGCGTTCAGCTTACTGATCTTTCCAGCTTACTACTGATCCCGCACGTTAGCACGAATCTTTTCGAGAATTTTGTACCATCATGGAGCTTTCTAATACAGTCTTGAATAATAAGCTAGCTGCTGATTTTTTGCTTCCTTGTTTATGAAAGCGCGACTTTAACCCGGTTAGGCATCGGACAATTGCAAAGTTCTCATCTATCTTGCCAACACAATCCATTACTGGGTCATCGGGGCTTTCCCATTTGCTTTGACTATTATCGTGATATCTGTGGTTACGATTGTTGACTAACTGACTAATTATACTCCCTTATAGTCGCGAAAAAGGCGGGTTTATTAAGCCTAGGCTTTAGACATTGTGCGCATTATTCTTCTTAACGGGCGTTGGACCTAAATTTTTCAAGTCGCCATAGCATTGCTTTTACAAGATGCGTTCGTTGACCTTAGTTAACTAGCTTCCTCCTGATGATGCAAGTAGCTTATGAATCGCATTCGTCTTATTTATGCTAGTTATACATGAATCCACAATATCTTCTGCCGCACGCTGAGGTGCGGTAAAATATGATGTGTGTATTGTTTTCTGCTATCTACCATCTTGAGTTATATATGGTGTATAGCTATCAATTTCTCTTGTTGTGGTGCATCCTTGTTGCCATCACAGTGGCTTGTTACATACTTTGGCTCAGCTGGAGTCATTGCATCTGCGGCCTCGCTAGGTTGTGACATGATGTTATAGTATGGATACCCCGCATTTGCCTCCACAAGTGTCATAGCAATAGTGCATCCACTGTCATTGGTATGTATTCGTTGCGTGCATAGGCTTTCTAGCTACTGACACTCAAAGTATTCCTATTCGTCTCAGCATACGGGGTATGTACTAGGCTGCACTTTGGAGATTGATGTCAGAATGGATTACTGAGCACGCAACAAAATCAAGTCGAACAAATCCCCTTTGAGAGCAGCTTATTGAAAGCTTTAAACTCTAACATCTGCGAATGGGACTAATACGGAGTCAGTAATGAAAGGGTAGTATGGTGCCTCTTCAATTTGTCATGTGTACCCCGCACTCCAAAGCCATTGACAAGTAAGATCATCGATCAGCGCGCAGCGTCGGTCAGAGTGGCAATGAGCATGGATATGGTGTCAGTAGATCCAGAGTCAAAGCTGATCTGCAGGCCTTAGTTCCTCGGAGCTGTGAAAACAACCGTGATTCTAGAGCGACCCATCACATTGTTATAACAGCGATACGGGTTACCATAAGTTCTACGCAGAGACACAGCTGTTCCTATGTATGCAAAAAGCTGGGCTAACCGTGTCTTCTAATAGTGCGCTATGCCTTTTATGCTTCATGTATCATTATTTGCGTCTACTAGGGTGATCCGCTTGCCAATAGAACATGTTAGGCACATACCGTCTGCTTAGCGGAAGTGAAGAACTTTTCGGTTTATGGAACAACAAAGGGCATATTGCACGTGTAATTGCTGACTATGGCTATAGATCTGCAATAAAAAAACTCCATCTTCTTCAATCTTGTGAGTCCGACAACAAAAGGCGCATCCCTCCAAGCCCCCATTGCCCCAAATGCTGTTGGATAAACTCAACACAATATAAGAATGTCTGCTTGCCACCACGGCATGCCCCACTCTCTAAATGCTGAGCTAATCCACTAAGAGTTGTGAATTGCTTTCCTTTTCCTTGATTTGTTTTAGCCTTGCTGGAGTTGATCGGAAAGAGATTACGTGGGCAGCGGTAGACCTTATCGCAGTGTGCTGGAGAGACTACATGCTGTTGACGAGCCTGTATTGTACGAAAGGCTTTGAACTTTCTTGGACAAAGCGGACAACGGAGTTCAGTCTTAATTTCGTCAATCACGCGTCTTCTTCCAAGCGAGAGAAGGGTGTCTTCAAACGGCGACCAATCTACTAGGCTATCCCACACACTACCCTGAGAGTGCATGGGAGTGACCATTAGCCAGCCGTCTGAGCTGTCGAGAGACGTAGTCGGCGTTCTGGAACAAGGAGACAAGTCATGTGCCGACAAGTAGGTAGAGCTCGTAGGTGTGAGTGTTGGGAGGGTGTGGATCGCATGATCTTTGTCGTATAGTTGAACCATGTCGTAGATATCATCACGGTCCATGCCTGAACAGCACTTTCCACTTTCTAGGTGGTGCAGTAGAGCTGACGGTGCACTAAACTTTCCTCTGCATCCCTCTCCTACAGGGCAACTTAAAGCGCTAAGTGGCTTGTGCTTTATCGACTTACAATGTTGTTGAAAAGACTGGATAGACAGGAAAGTTCGCCAGCATTTCTTGCATGTCCAATCACCTGCACTCATCGCAGTAGCTTTTCCCGCCTTTCTTACATTGTTATGGGGCTTTTGCTGGAGAGGCTTCCGATGCGCACGGCTCGCCATATGTGCGTTTAAAGCGTGGATGTCTTTAAAAGAGATATTACAGTTACAACACCGATACTCGGAAGCATGGAGCTCTGTCTCGCGATGACTCTCCCAAGCTCTTTGACTTTCGAAGGAAGTTCGCATTCTGAACAGAAGCAGTGCCCTGTAGTAATGCGGTGGTCCTCAAGGATATCCAGGCGCTCACAGAGCTTGCTGCAATAGCCACATTTGCGAATAGTATAGCCGTAGTGAACCACTGAAGGATGTTTGCAACTACTTCTGCAAATATGTGAGGGAAAGTGCCCTCGGGCTCTCCGATGTTCTTCTAGATCAATCGCATACGGATAGGTGCGGCCGCAGAAACACTTGAAAGGATCGGTTGCGCGAAGAGTCATTCCGACAGTTAGTTCGATGGAGAATGTGTTTTTTACAATCAGACACAATAAAAGAGGAATTAGATAAACAGAAGAGTAATAGAAAATCTACAAATACATAGTTGTAGTCCGAGCTTATTATCTGTTCCGCGGGCTCGTTGCGTCATCAGGAGCATCAAGCACTAACCCCGCTCGAGTGGCAAAGAGCTTCCTTGTTAGCCAATAATACCTGAGAAAAGAGAGTGAACCCTCATTGAACCTAATTGTTAATATCAACCAGAAAAGCTCACGAGTAGATTGAATCCGCCTTGGCCCGAACTCTGCTTGTGTTTCTACCCCGCTCCACATTGATAGTGCAATGCGGTAGTTCCTCGCCTCCGCTGAGCAGACGCTCATGTGTAATTTATTCCATCAGCAAGTAATCCGCTCTGCTCAGAAAGAGATTCCAGAAGCTATTTTGGTAACTATATTGCAAAATCGATGTAAAATAACTAGTCATTATGGTAGCTATGCAATCATATGTGGTGTGAGATCTAAAAGTCTCGCCCATCCGATACCTACAGTTTGCAAATCACTAAATATAGTTTGGAGAGTCAACAGGCCGCGCGGCCCTTAGCTAAGCTGAAAATACTGTGACGTAATGGAACTAAACCTTAAAAATCAAATATGCACAAATAGGGGCGGAATGCTGTGGCAATCGTAGCTTGTTCCTAAGCTCGACGTTCTCCGAGATAGGGATGTATAACATGCTATCCTGGCATCCCATACGCTCCCATTGACTAAATGGACTAATAATAAACATGTAGTAGTCTAGGACCTAACTATCAATTACAAAATGTTAAATAAATCTAGAGATTACATACTACTAACATACAAAACATTTCTTTGTACAAAGTTGTCGCGATCCTGTAGTGAAAAATGATACAATCATGAACAGCTAGTTACTTTAAAGTAGTTGATTGCCAGATGGCTTACTCTACGGCTCTGCATAGTTGGTCTGACGACTATCACAAGCCGCGAAATAGTACGAGTCTTTTCGAGAATTCTGTGTAATTATGGAGCTTTCCAATCTAGTCTCGAACAACATCTCACTTAGTCAGTATCTCGCTTTCTTCTTTATAACAGCACGATTTTAACATGGCTAGACATCGGATAATCGCAAAGTTCTTATCTATATTTCCAAATTAATCCATTACTGGCTTATTCTGGGCTTTTCCATATGCTGTGATTATTATTGCGATTTCCGTGGTTACAATCTTTGATTGAGTAATGATACTTTCTTAAATTAATGGAAAAAAGATGGATTAATTAAGACTGTGCTTTGGGTATTATGACTATTGTTCATCTCGACATGCATTGGACCTGATTTTTTCAAGTCGCAATGACGTTACTTTTACAAGATACGTTCATTAAGTATTCTAACTTCTTCCCGATTATGTATGTAAGTGGCTTATGAGTCGCATTCATCTTCTCCCTGTCATATATGAATTCAGAATATCTTCTGTCACACGCGGAGGTACGGTAAAACTTGATGTATGTATCATTTTCTGCTATTGAATATCCTTATTTATCTATGGTGTATAGCGATTGGTTTTTGTGAAGACAGTGCGTCCTTGATGCCGTTACAGTGGCTTGTTGCTTCGGCTTAGCTGAATTCGTTGTTTCTGTAGCCTTGCTAGGCTGCGATATCATCCTTCAAACTCCGTACATTTAGTTCTTGTCTTTAGTAGGGTTTTGAACCCCTTTCGAAGTAACGTACTTAAAGGTAGAAAATTGTCAGTCGTCGTACCTCTTATGGCGTTGGGGCTAAAAGCACAGAGGCACAGGCAGCCTGACAAGTACCAAAGGCGGTATTGCATGCAATGATGCTAGCAGGTGCGGAAGCACCAAGAGTGGCTCCCCAGGTAAACCCAGCTGCAGAGTAGCAGGCCATAACTACCGCAGAACAGCCCGCCTGACACAATCCATAGGCTGCTGGTCCCGCTGAAGCCAGACTAGCAAAAGCAAGAGTGATAAAGGTAATTAAGAGCGATAATTCCATAAGGTGAACGTGGTGAGAATGCTCAGGTATACAGGTGAGAGAAAATTGAGAGATTCGCGGACTTTTTAATTATGGCTTTAAGTCGATGACTATCCTAAAGACCCTTGTTAGTCTAGATATGTGGGCAGAATCAGGACTGGAAGCCATTTCCGCATATCCATGTTAAAGCGGGCCAGATTTTCATTGATCGGCGTGGTGCGATATTCTACCCACGGGAAGGAAGGTTTATACCTCCTCTTCCATTTGTCGTGCGTACCCCGCACTACAAGCTATTAGGAGATCAGATCATCGATTAGTGTGGTAACCCCACTTCCAGTTTGCCTACTAAGATGATCGGCACTACTAGAAATTCTTTTCAATGAATGGGCTCATTCTATGCCATTGAATGCCGCTTTACAGTAGAATGACTCAAACTCTATATGTAGCTAACTATGAGAAGCGATTATTAAGATCGACCATGCACTGCTCCCAATGCGATTTAGTTTTTACGATTCCTAGAGCGCTTATGAAAGGCATCGTGACTTACAGTAATATACAATGACATGCGCTTACAGTTAGCGTGACCATAACTTTAGTTTCACGCTTCTATGCTGTTGTCTGGCAACGTTTTCGATATAAATATCTAAATAACAGATCTCTAAGCTCTAAATTAGCACATCTTATCATTCTATTATCTGCCCACGCCTTTGCTAATTTTCCTTAGAGTTACCCTCCACGCTTGTCATAACATCAGTGGGAAAAAAATAACGGTGTGTAAGATAACACTAGACTCGCAATTTACCGTCTCAAAGCTGTGAATATCACACGCTTGACTCACCCGCGTGGTCTAAGACGGATGCGCCTACAGAAAAGGCATTTAAGTATAGAGCTTATTGATAGTAGCGCACGGCGCTTATAGTAGAAAGTGAGGTGATATTAGCTAGTACTTATAAGCGATCACAACGTATGGAAATGGAAGAAGAGACTGCATCTAGTGAGCACTTGGTCGTTTTAAACGCCTCGCATTCTTCGGAGACACGTAATCGCCAGCTTAGAAGTTCGCTGAGAAATGCGTCCGTAATTGATGCAATCCGTAACGCTCCCGTTCTTTACGGTACGATTGATATCGCTGTTATTTACTTTACGATTACAATTCGTGTGGCTAGAATGTAAGCTGAGGATGCTTCGTATATACATAGCAATTGAAGCACTTAAAAATCTGGTATTACTACAGCTCTGAAAGCGGTGATGGTGTGGATGAAGTCACACTCTTGGGAGATTGTTGCTCTGATCATTCCTGTGCTTCTTACAATATGTACACCTGCTTTCGTAGGGCTTGCTGGATTTATAGCAGGTGGTATCGCTGTAGGTCTGAGCTTAAATATACACCTAGATTGCCGTATGAGTGACATACGAATAAGTAGCATCGTAGTAGGTATTTAAGCAGGTATTAGAAACGTTGTAGCTCGTTCTATCTTCTTAAATATTATGAGTGCGGCAATGTTAGGATACGGTGTACCTACACTCGCTTGCATAACTAGCTTCCGGTCTATGTATTACACGAAACGCTTAGCTTATAGGGGCGCCTTGTTCTTATTAGGAATAGCTCTAACATAGATACTTATAACGATTAGAAAAGGCGAAAGCTTACTAACATCTCAACCTAGTTAAGGCTATATTATATAGAAGTGTTTAGAGTAGTAATAAAAATAGAAGTAATAATACTTATACTATTAGAAACATAGACAGCTTTATCGCATTATATTATAATTTTATTAGTAGCTAAATTACTATTCTTCCATTTATATCTTTCGCCATAAGGTCTATTCTAAGGTCTACTAGTAGCTATATTACCGCCTTGGCTCTTCTTAAAGCTGCCTAGTATAATACTATCTTCTTATTATTTTTCTTCGCCTTAAGGTCTACTCTAAGGTCTACTAGTAGGGTGAGAATCCCGTACGTGGTCGCTAGCTATTGCCGTGTAAAGCCCCTTCGACGAGTCGAGTTGTTTGGGAATGCAGCTCTAAATGGGAGGTAAATTTCTTCTAAAGCTAAATATTGGCCAGAGACCGATAGCGCACAAGTAGAGTGATCGAAAGATGAAAAGCACTTTGGAAAGAGAGTCAAACAGCACGTGAAATTGTTAGAAAGGGAAGCGCTTGCAGCCAGACTTGCTTGCAGTTGCTCATCCGGGCTTTTGCCCGGTGCACTCTTCTGTAGGCAGGCCAGC